GACCAGAGAGGCAGGGAGGGGAGCCAGAGGAGGCCCGCGGGTTCCCTGGCTTCGCAGTGGTAACTTCAACCCCCTTTCTCACATGGGCACACCTGCCAGGTGACATTCACCCCCGTGACACACCCTGCCAGGTGACATGCACACCTGCCAGGTGACACGCACACCTGTGACACGCTGGGTCACGCATGATTCCCTGTGCGCGCCGTCACTGGCCTCGTCGTCTTCACTCAGGAGAGCGTGGCAGAGCACGGAGGAGCAGCAGTGAGATTCCATGAGCTCTGGAGGTTTTGTAAGGTTGAAGGTTAACCTCGACCGCTCAAACCGCTGTGAAAAATAAACCGTCCGTGGCTTTGGGGTAACAGCGCGTGTCAGTGCCGGGCTGCTGGAGACGTGCGGGCCGGGCAGGCGGGCGCAGCGTGACCGTTCAGAGTCTCACATCTGTGCTCTCTCCCCGCCCTGCTCCCCCCCCACAGGTGGTGAAGACCATCGGCCTGCGGGAAGTGTGGTACTTTGGCCTCCAGTACGTAGATAACAAAGGGTTCCCCACCTGGCTGAAACTCGATAAAAAGGTAAATCCAAGTTGACTCTTGGCAGGCTGTCGGCTGGGTGCCGGCGCCCTGCGCTGACATGGGATCTGGGGCGCCTCGCCTGGTCCTGGGTTTTTGCTCCTTTTTGTTTGCGTGAACATTTCTGCAGCTTCTGCAGCTCCTGCAGCCGGAGAGGCGGCAGGGCTCCCGTCACCGGGGCTGCGGGTTGGGGACCAGGCCTCTGCTCAGTCATCGGGGCACATGAGGGCTAACTGTCAGCGTTTAGGCGACCTTGGTGTTGTTTCCAGTGAGGCCGTTAACCCTGTGAACCATGAGTCACCCACTGTCCCGTGAGGGCCTGCCACTGCTTCGTCAGAGCCCGTGGCGGGGCCTCTCCCAACTCCAACGACTGGACAATCCGGGAGTGATTGTCAAGAGAAGCAATCGCCTAAATTCGTTTGCCCCAAACAATTTGGGAAATGTCCCTTTTCCAAACCCCCGCTCCCTGCCCCAAATTATGTAGCCAGTCAGGAGGGCAGCTGGAGCCGAGGAAGAGGGAGGGGCGTGAAGAATTGTTGCCAGTAAGTTTCAGGGTCCAGGGCTAGACCCGCTACGGGGTCGGACTCCCCGTTCGAGGGCCCGCAGGGCAGGTGTGTCGAACCTGCGAGTTCCCCGGAGTCGATCGCGGTGACCCTGCAAGACCAGGCCTGCGCTGGTGGCCCTGTGGGTCCCCCCACCTGGCTGTTGCTAGGCTGACTTCCAGCTAACTGTGGGAGTGTGATAGGACTTCTTTAAGTGGCTCATTTTTTGTCTTGTATGCTAAAAAGGTGACTTGCAAGGTAAACAACTACCTTTCGAAAAACCAGGCTGAAGGACCCTTTCTGAGTCCACGGTTAGACACACCTGGGTTTGGGGAGGCGGGTCTTCGTCTTCCGAACCCGTAGTGAGCGCGTGGCTCCTGTCGCCCAGGTGTCGGCCCAGGAGGTCAGGAAGGAGAATCCTCTCCAGTTCAAGTTCAGGGCCAAGTTCTTCCCCGAGGACGTGTCCGAGGAGCTCATCCAGGACATCACCCAGAAGCTCTTCTTCCTCCAAGTGAAGGAGGGCATCCTCAGCGACGAGATCTACTGCCCGCCCGAGACGGCGGTGCTGCTCGGCTCCTACGCCGTGCAGGCCAAGTTCGGGGACTACAGCAAAGACGCACACAAGTCCGGGTACCTGGGCTCCGAGCGGCTGATCCCGCAGCGGTGAGCCGGTGGCCCGGCCTGGGGGGGGGGGGGAGGGGGCAGTGGGGAAGAGGCAGCGGACGCACAAGGGCTTTGTCGCGGGCGGGCGGGTGCTCCTTGAGGCTGGGCGCTGGCCGTTTCCTCGCCTGTGTGTTGGCGGTCATGTGATCTGGCCACCCGCAGGCCCTGACCCCGCACAGCGACTCCCCTGTGGCAGCAGTGGCCCGTCCACCTGGTCAGGGCCCGTCCGGGCCGCAGCGGGGAAGGGGCCACGCCTCGTGGGAGCTGCAGAGCGGCTGCGTTAGCTGAGCATCTTCTAAAGCAGCCCCGTTTCTCCTGGCCGCACGGCGTCGGTCTTCCCAGTGTGGAGCAGTTTGGCCCCCTGTCAAATCTGTTTCTGTTCACAATTAGTCCTGTAAATCGCCCCTTTGGGCAGAAGAGGCCTCTTGAAAGAAAACGCTCTTCTAAGTGTTTTTCTAGCGGGACTGGGTCTGCGCTGTTCCCGATTCTAAACCGTCCAGGCTCGGGGCTGCCATCTGCAGGCGGCGGCCCGTGGGGAGGTAGAGACGGGGGCACTTGGCGGTGGTTTTATCCAGAGGAGAAGCTGAGGTTTTTGCGTGAGGGTGGGCGGCGGCGGCGGCGGTGGCGGCGGTGGCTGCCGCTCACCTGTCACAGCCCCTCGGGGTGACGGGGCCACTCCCTCTTGCTTTGCGATCAGCGTCATGGACCAGCACAAGCTCACCAGGGACCAGTGGGAGGACCGCATCCAGGTGTGGCACGCGGAGCACCGCGGGATGCTCAAGTGAGTGCTGGCTGGCGGCCGTCCCACGCGGTGCCCCCTCCCTGCCCCCCCACCCCCGGCACCAGGGAGGCTGCTCTGGGCGTCACACACACAGACGTGACCCACGTTTCTTCTCCCCCAACTAGAGACAGCGCCATGCTGGAGTACCTGAAGATTGCCCAAGACCTGGAGATGTACGGAATCAACTATTTCGAGATAAAAAATAAGAAAGGGACAGACCTTTGGCTTGGAGTGGATGCCCTTGGACTAAATATTTATGAGAAAGACGACAAGTGAGTTGAACTTTGGAACTACCTCTCGCGGGTGGGGGAGGCGGCGGCGGCGGCTGTGAGTGCGGGCCGCTTTCGCAGTATTTGTCTGGCAGCTCTGTGGCCCGTGTGGGGGCCTCCGGGGGCTTTTCGGCCTTGATGCGGATGCCCTGGAGGTGGGCTCAGAGCTGGGCGCTGTTTCTCCCCGGTCACCGTGGCCTCCCCCTCGTGCATGCAGCACGTGCCAGAGCCCGGCGGGGAGACCGCCAGGGTCGGTGACCCCGGCCCCACCCCCACACAGGCAGCCTGGCCGTGCTGGGCGGCAGGAGGTCTGTGCTGCTCCAACCGAGACTGTTCCTGGTTTGGTCAGAAACCCCTCCCGCTGCAGACAATAGCCTTTGTGTACAGACTGCAGAGCTGATACTCTAGAACCCTGGGGGGATCTCCCACTGCCCTGGGGCGGTTCTTCTGTCCAGTTCAAAGCCAGCAGGGGACGGTCCGCAGGGGCCTCCGCTGGACTTGCCGTGCCCGCCCCTGTGGTGGCCGACACTGACACAGGCCTCGTTTCTGCCGAGAAGCTGGACACACAGAAAAAATCCTTCTGATTCAGTGAGGGCGAGCTCTCTGGGGCGACTCCGCAAGTTCAGAGGCCCAGCCAAAGGCCGGTCCTTCCCATCGGGAGCTGCCCTGTCTTTTGGGACGAGAGGGGAGCAGCTCCTGGTTGTCCCCGGAAGGTCCCTGTAAAGGGCTTCCCCGGACAAGCCCCCCCCCACCCCCGGGGGGGTCGTCGGGTTCAGGGCCCCAGCAGAGGGCGGCGGCGGCGGGTCTGGCCGAGGGAGCCGGGCCGGACTGCCCCGAATCCTTTATGCCAGCCAAGCCAGACCCCTCGGCCCGGGGTCCTGCTGCCGTGAACTCGGGGCAGAGCAGCCCAGGGTCCCAGCACATTCCCAGGCCCCTGCACCCCGTGTGGAGTCCGGGCGAGACTGCTGCCCCAGGTCCCCTCGGCTCCCCTGCATGTCCTACTTGTACCCCACCCCCCCACCTGCGGCTGCCCGCCAGCACCCCGGGCCCCCACCAAAGCTCCTCTCTGGCGTTCATGGGGGGTAGCACTGCTTTTAACAGATGACTCCGCATAAGGAACACCTGTATGCCTGGCCACGCGTGTTCTTGCCAGAACCCAAAGGGCAGATGCGGTCATCTGGGCAGGGGCCTGGGCCCTGCGGGGAGGATCCCAGCCAGGCCCTGCGGGCTTGTCCGGGAGTCGCGGGAGTGCTTCCAGAACCGGACGTGTGTCCCCGGGAGCTCGTGGCCGGCCCCTCCCCGAGTGTGCTGGGTGCAGGGAGCGCGAGGTGGTGGCTGGTCTGCCGCTGCAGGGCCGTGCCTGGGAGCCGAGCGCAGGGGCTCCGTGTGGGAAACTGCCTTCTCTTTGAACTCCTTTCTCCAGCGACCAGATCTTGTAACCCAGCCACGACCAGGGAGAGCTGTCCCAACAGGTTCTTCAAGCGGCGGGGAACAGCCACAGGCAGGAACTTGCCCGAGTCGGCCCGTAGCTGCCCCCAGCCTCCCACGCAGATGTGCGTTTTTTCCGATTAAAATTGGGTCTGCACGGCTCCTTCCGCCCTCCTCCTGCACCCCTGCCCCCCAGTGCGGCAGCAACACTGGCCGTCCCGTCAAAGGGGTCTTCTCCCCACAGAAAACTGGGGCCCGTGGGCCCAGCCCCCACCCACCCGCCCGCCTCTCCGCCTCCCGCTGTGGAAGGCATCCCCGTCCATCATGAAAGAAACACTCAAGCAGCTATTCACTGCGTCAATGGGCCCAGCGTCTCCTTTTAAACAAATATTGACGACTCGGTTACCAGGATAAGCAGGGGCCGTGACAACTCCTAGCCGTTCAGTGGTGACTTCCTACCCTCAGCAGAGGTCAGAGGGCAGCGCTGGAAGTTCTGAGACCGTCCAAAACAAAAGAAATTGGCTGTGTCGAGAATGCAAGTTGGGTGACAAGAGACTTAGTGCACCCTGCAAAGAAACAGATACATCTTCGTTTTACTAAGATGCTTATCTCCGTTAGCATTGAGTAGCGCACTCGGGAAACGGCTCTTGGGGTCCGTTCCTCACCGTCCACTGACCATTGAAGGGGAGCAGCAGGATGGACAGTACTGTCTCTCTCTTGCTGTGAAACCTCGGCTTAGGAGGGAGTGAGGAGGAGCGGGAGGAGGTGGGCGGGCCCGGGCGCCTCCCTGAGCAGCGTTACCAGCCTGGGAACCGAAGGCTCGGGCGGGCAGCCGCGGTGTCGTTCTAACTGGAGTCCTCAGACCGAAAACAGAGCAGCAGGAAGAGGACAGAGACCGAGGGGAACCCGGTCCTGCCCCCGGGCTCCCCGTCCTGGGGGAGCGCACTGTCCCTGCTGCGGGGCCCACAGCGCCGTGGTGCCCTGCTGTGGCGCCTGGGGGCTCGGGCCCCCCGGGGGACCCAGTTACCCCATCGGGGGAGCCGGCAGGGAAGGGCTGTGGCCAAGGTGGGGCTGAGACAGAGCTGGGTGGGTGGGTATCTTCCTCCTGCCGTCCTGGCTCGGGGCTGGGAACCCCGCGCTCCGCTCCACGCTTCCGTTTCACCCACTTTCGAGACGGCGTTTCAAGCGTGTTACAACGAAGCACCTGTTGTAGAGAGATCATTATTTCCACTTTCTGAAGTCGATGCCCCTGAGACAGCACACGGGACAGTTCGGGCTTTGTCGGCGGAGGCCCGGGCTGCGTGTCCGTGCCCGTCCTCAGGGCCTGGCCCGCCGGGCCGGAGCCACGGAGCAGCTGTGCCACCGGCGCGGGTTTCTCCCCCCGGACGCGCTGGGGTCACAGCTGTCGGGCTCCTCCTCTCCTCCTGGTCCTTGGGGCCCTCCCCTGAACACGGAACAGTCAGTGTCCCGAGTCACTGCATCTCTGACGGGTGGGTGCGGCGGCAGGGACCGCCCGCAGGTGGGACACCTGTAGTGAGGAGTGTAAGGGTCCGCCGGGGATCAGCAGGGGAGAGGTGGGCGTGCGGCCAGACACCGAGGGGGGAGCCCTGGGAGCCCGGCCCCGCGGCAGCCGGGAGGCAGGAGGGCTTGACTCTCCCCCACCCCTCCACCCCATCCCCGTGTACTGCACAGTGGGGTGTAACCCTAACCCACCACCCCAGGCCTTCTCTACATGTTTTAAATAACAATGTTCAAGCAAGTTGCGAATTGGAAAGGATTTTGCAGCAAACACCATATGCCTGCCACCAGGGGCCATCCGTGGGCATCTGTCTCCTGCCTTGTCCCCCACCCACTCATCACTGCACCCTGGGGCCCGCCCTCCCTCTCGCAGACATGGTTCCCAGTGAAATAAATTGCAGGCATCTGCGTGCTGCCCAAGAAATGCACGGTATTTAACTAGAGTGCGGTGGGTTCCGTTTTTCATTCGATGTAACGTTTAAATGCAATGAAATGTGCGGTTCTCGAGTGCTCATGTACTGAGTTTGTGCAAACACGAGCGCCTGTGAAGTCCAGCCCCCTGTCCGCGTGTAGAGGACATTGCCATCCCCCTCGGGGGCCTCTCTCGAACCCTGGAACCGTTCATTTTGAAGTCGTTTCAGACGTCCCGGAGGTTTCAGGCATCGCGAACACGGAGGAGCCCATGGGCCCTCCGCCCAGCTTCCCCAGACATGAACCTCTCACGTGGCCCCGTCTGAGACGTGAACCTCTCAGGAGGCAGCGCTGGTGGGAGCCTGCTGCCCGCATCGCCGTGGTAGCCCGTAGTCCACCGGCCTCCTCCTTCCGTGCCCCGGGATACCCCCCGGCTCAGCACCCATGCTGGTTTGGCATGCCTCCCAGTCTCCTGCCATCGGGAACGGTTCCTGAGTCTGTCTGTCCGTCTGTCATGACCTTGTCGCTTCCGAAAAGTACTGACCATTGATTTCCTAGAAAGTCCCCAGCTCAGATCTTTTTTCCCACGATTACATTCACGTTTTGCACTCTGGGCAAGGACCCCGCGGGCGTGCTGTCCATCCTGAGTGGCCCCCCAACCCCGGGGCCTGTGCAGTGGTGCGTGGCGGCAAAGGTCTTGTTCCCGGTGGGCCCGACTCTGACCCCGGTCCAGGGTGGCGCCTTCCAGGCTTCCCCTCGCAAAGTCCCTCTCCCTCCCTCCCTCCTGTGCGGACGAGTGCGTTCGGGGCAGGCACTTGGAAACGGTGTAAATATCCTGCTCTTGATGATTTTCATCTATTAATGCCAGCACCCTCGGTGCATCTTGCACGAAGCCTGTATTACTCTGGTGTTTGAGAAACGTTCGTTTAAAAGAAAGCATTCATTTTGCATGTGTTACTGGGGTTCTAGTGCAAGGAGCCTGTTTCTCTTCCCATTTCTTTTAGTCATTTTGTTAACATGGGCTCATGGGTATTTGTTTTGTTCTCTGCGCTATAAGCTAACGCTTCCTTTGTCGCTCAGGTTGTTTGAGATTTGCCCTTACAAGCCCTCGTGACTTACCTACCGCACCCTCTCGGTGCGGCCCATTACTTCTGGAGCCCTGTTTCCTTTTCCATTCCAGAATATTCCGGCGTCGGCTCATGCTTTTCCCCGCTCCATGCCTGGGACCATCTGTTTCTCAAAAGAGCTCTGGTCCCTGTGGTTCAAGAATCTCACTTTTTTATTTTTATTTTTTTTAAGACTTTATTTATTTACTTTTAGAGAGAAGAGAAGGGAGGGAGAAGGAGAGGGACAGAAACAACAATGCGAGTCTGTCCATCAATTGCCTCTCCCACGTCCTCAGCCAGGGACCCGGCCCACAGCCCAGGCTTGTGCCCTGACTGGGACTCAAACCGGCGACCTTTCGGTTCACGGGCCAGCGCTCAATCCACTGAGCCACACCAACCAGGGTTCACTTTTTTTTTTTTTTTTTTTTAATGTGTGGCCTAAGCAACGAGAGACTCATAGTGTAAGTCCTTTGGAAATGGCCCTGGCTGGTGTGGCTCAGTGGATGGAGCACTGGTCTGCAAATGAGGGGGTCGCCTGTTTGATTCCCTGTCGGGGCACATGCCTGGGTTGTGGGCTGGGTCCCTGGTCCCTGTGGGGGGCATGAGAGAGGCAGCCACACACTGATGTTTCTCTGCCTCTCTCCCTCTCCCACTCTAGAAATAAATAAATCTTTAAAAAAAACTTTTAGAGACATTCTCTGTGGGTCCTTCTCTGTTCGGGTCCTATGGGTGATATCTCTCTCTCTCTCTCTCTCTTTAATTAAGAGAGTGAGAAATCCTTGTAGACGTTCATTTCCTAACTGTGGTCAAGAGCTGAAAGAGGTTCTCGGACTCCGCTGGGAGTCGGGGCTCCGTGTCGAGTCCTCGCGTTGCGACCCTGCAGTGCAGCTTGTGCACGAACGGCTGTGAACTGAGCTCTCAGAGCCCGGAAAAGGCAAACCCTCCACACGCACCAGAAAGCCGGTCTCGGGCTGCCCCCGAGCCAGCAGGACGGCCGGGGCCTTGGTGAGGCATGTGTGCTCAGTCTAGGCCGTCTCCGGCCTTGGGGGTGACCCGGGAGGAAAACACGCATCGTGAAGAAGCAGAGGAGCAGAACCCACTGCAAGCCCTCAGTGCATCGGGAAGGCACAGTCGTAAATGTGCACGCGCCCAACCCCGGAGCACCCCAGTATGCTGAGCAGACCCCAATATCTGGAGGAAGAACACACCCCACGGTGCGGGAATAGCAGAGGCCTCCGACACCCCACTTTCAGCCATGGACAGACCCCTTGGGCGGAATGCCAGCGAGGCAACAGTGGACTTGAACCTTACCGAGCCCTCGTCCGAGTCCGTCACTGGGCAGCCACCGTTCTCAGGGTGGCGCGTGCCTTTGCCACGAGAAAGCATGCCTGCCTGGCTTTGGGAGAGCTGAGTAGTGGTGCGAGGACTTCAATGATCCCAGGAGAGTCGTTGTGCAGCCTGCGGGGTGGCGGGCTGAGGGGGGACCGGGAGGGGAGAGAGCGAGCAGGTCCCGCTGGGTGGTGCAGGTCCCGCCGGGTGGGGAGAAGCAGGAGGGAGTGCCTTCCGGGCGCCTCGGCGACCGTGTGTGGTGGGGGTGGGGGGACGAGCGGTCAAGCCAGACATGGGCTGGAGTGGGCACCGCGTGGATGCTGAGCTGAGGACTGCGGGTTTCACCTGGTGGAAACGGGGGAGGGGGTGTGGACGTCTGAAGCTGGAGGTGGACTGACTGGAGGAAACGTCACCTGGACAGGGAACGCGGTTGGGCTGCCTGCACCCGAGGGGCAGGCGCAGGGCGGCGGAGACGGCCGAGAAAGAGACATCTCGGACCAAGTGTGCACGGGTGTGCGTGGCCAGGAAGCGAGCTGGCCTCGAGGTTCCACGCCAGGGGTGCTGGACACCGTGCGGCACTCGAAACGGGCGTGCGTGGAGGGTCCTAGGCCCTGAGCCTTGCCAGCGGCCGCCTGACCTGCCTGGGACGGGTGGGGACTACGTGGTAGTGACGTGTGACGCATGCTGTGCTCGCTGGGCTAGCTGTGCACTGTGCAAAACGGAGCAACGAGAAAAACCCTGAGACTGGGTTTTCAGACCTCTCGTGGCCGAGCAAGCACACCTGACCTTCTCTCTGCCTTTTTGAACCTCAGGTTGACCCCAAAGATTGGCTTCCCGTGGAGTGAAATCAGGAACATCTCCTTCAATGACAAGAAGTTCGTCATTAAGCCCATCGACAAGAAGGCGCCCGTAAGTCCACACAGAGGTTCTCGCGGCCGGGGGTGGTCTCTCAGGGCGCGTCGGGTCTCGGCCTGGGTGGCGAGGGACCGGTGAAGCTCGGAGTTGTGTGTGTGTGCACGTGCGTGTGCATGTGTGCATCGGGAATTGCCAGCGGGTCCCAGCGAGGGTTAAGGACCTCTCGTGACACGCGGCTGGCCGCTGCAGTGGGCGGCTGTGGCAGAGGCCCGGCTGTCTGGGAGAAGCTAGTCGGCTCTGGCACCTGTTGTCAGGGGTCTTCATTCGTCAGGAAGAAAAGAGCCGTTCTGGGTCAGTGACCTCTGCCACGTGGTGCGCATTTCCTGACTTGTGGAAGTTCCCGGGAGAGCAGCCGGCCCCCGGACTGCGCCGCCGGGGCGTGGGGCTCCCACGGCGTCTCTCCGGCACCCACCTGGAGCACAGGTGGTGATGGCCGCCGGCCGTGACTCTCAGAGCGGTCCTGCCAGCCTGCCCACGCTCGTGCCCGGGAGGGTCGGACTCCGCGCCCCCGGAGTGCAGCTGCCCCCACGGTCCCTGCCCCTCGGCTGCCTCTCTCGTGCGGACGCAGCCTCGGTTTCCTCGGACCCCGCAGCCCCTCGAGTGATCCTCACACGGGCCCCTTCCCGTGGGCGCCGGGGCCCCAGAGGCGGAACTGGAGGGCCGCGGCCCTGGGAGCGTTAGCTGGACACGAGGCTTCTGTCCTGGAGTCTGAAGGATGCCGCAGTGTTTGCTCGTGGCTGCAGAGGCTGCTGCTGCGTTGTGGAAATGCACTGTGGTTCCATCATTGATTCTCCTGACACTTCAAGTTTCAGTCTTTCTCTGCTCAGGTTTCACACACACACACACTCACTCTGTAGTGTGGCGGAATGGCGAGGAGTTTGTTTTCTAACTAGAAACCTGGTTCTTAAAAAAAATTGCCACTTGA